CTGAATAAGGACTGACCTATATAGGGGTTTCTCCCGTACGACCTCGAAATCGTTAACAATGGATTGAGCCCTATTAATCCAAGAGTTGTATTTCTCGGAATCTCCCTCGAAAGTCACAAGCTCCCTTACGCAATCCGGTACGGCCGAAGACTCCTTAAGTTCGTACTCCGTACGCGGACGCATTAGTGAAACCGGGTTGCGTTCCTCAAAGTCAGTTTCTAAAATGTTCACCCTATTTCCTATTTTCCTAACCTCTTCCTTCATGCCCACCATCTGAGTGGTTAAGGCCGAAATGGTAGCATCAAGACGGTTCAAAACTTCTTTAATTTCCTTTCATTTTTTTGTTCTGGGTCGAAGCAGGGAATCTATCAACAGTTTTCTCCTTTTTTGTAAATTAATTTCTACTTTATTTATTTACTTTTTTTTTTCTTTTTTTTTCTTTTTTTAAGAGACGTTCGTATAAAGAATCGTTTCACTTACCCTCAGTATTTTCCTCCTTTTTTTTGTTTCGTGGTTTTGATGTTTCAGTGTTTCAATAATTCTAGTTCTTCTGTTTTCTCTCTTACAGGATTGTTATTCTGAAATTAGATTAGAATTAGTATGTGATTTGCTTTCTGTTTAAAAAAAAAAAGAAAATTGTAATTTTCGTTTGAGCGTTGTGCGATTTTTAGTGAAATTCGTGTTTTTGGTTCTTTTTTTTTTATTTCTGTGTAATTGTGTTTATTATTATTTTTTATAATTGGAGAGAATTTTTTATCTTCAAAATAAGTTTATAATTTTTGCCGCTCGCAAATTAATTGCCGCAGCGGTTATCTGTCTTTATTTAATTCAAATTGCAATTTTTACACTCGCGAATAAGCTACCCAATGGTGTAGACTTACCGCCGCAGTGGACTTTTGCTTCTTTTTTTTATTTTACTTAGTGTTTTGTGACCGCGAATATGCCGCGTCACACGGTACGTGGACAAATCGCCGCGGCAGGTACTAAGTTATTCACAATTTTTTGCACCCAGCTCTAACATAAATTTCATTGTTGGTTTTTTGATTTTAAATTTCACACGCACGACGCCATATTTTTGATTTTTTCTTTAATTTTTTAATACTTAATTTTCTATTGTTTCCAAAATTAACGCATTTCTTTTATTCTTTTGTTTCTTCAGAACTTTGATAATACCTTTGCATTAATTTGTTTGAATTATGTTTTTTTTTTCTGGTATAGAACTTTTCTTCTGTTAAGTGAACTGATCTGTGCAAGAGCTCAAGCGCTCTTCAACCAGACCTCACTCGACAGTTGCGCTCTCGCTCTCAGAGCCAAAACTTCGGATACCAGGAATTGGTGAATTTCTGGAATTGTGGCGTCAGCATCGATGCTCGCCAATCAAGACAACAGTTCCTAGAATTCGACAATTCCAAGAACTGTGTCATGTCTCATTTTTTCATTCTTTCTTTTATATTTGGGGGGTCTTTAGTTCCCACTTTCGAGAAAAAGTGGAATCTGTCCGGGCGCCAGTTATGGTCAGACATGACCAGAGGGGGGAGCATTCCGCCGGATACCACCTAGTCAATGTTATGAGCATCCTCATCTCTTGGGTTTCCAGTACCTTCGTCCACAATTTAAACCTTTCATTCTACGCAGCTACGTTAAAATAAAGCAGTAAGCGTTTTAATACGTTACAATGGTTTTATTATTATCTAGAACAGTCGTCTGGTTGCCTCGGGGGTACAAATCGAAGTTCCTCTCAATCATAATTTGCCTGGCTTGTTGACCGCATAACGCTGGCAGAGCGGTTGCAGCAGTCCGACGCTGACAGCCGCGGTTCTGCCGGTGCCATTCTGCCCTTGACGTTCTGTCGCTGCGCTGTCGCCGCTGATGTTTGGTGTCTGCACTACCGCTGCTGTGTCTCTGCTGGTCGTCGGGTTGGCTGAGTGGGGTGATGAGGGAAGTCGTGGTGTCTGGTATCCGGGTCGAGAGGCGGTGAAGGGAAGGGGGCGCTTGGCCGGTGTTAACTTATAATATTTTGTTCGGCCTGGCACCCGTTTCGATCATCGTCGGATTTTGGGCTCGGATGACCGTCCTGAGCGGATCCCGCAACTCAACCAAGAAGGCGTTTAGTAAGATCCCATCGTAAAGTGCTGTTTTCGATGTAGTGCCTTCACCATAGGCCGAGTCTGCGGGGAGCTCCAACAGTTCGCTCCGGAACCTGATGATTTAAAAAAATAATTTACCCAGGGACAACCCACTGGAGAGGTTCTAATCCAGACCTAGTCTGGAACTGGTTTTTGTACATTAGTTTTCCTTGGCATCAGGTGAAGAAATAGTAAATTTAGTATACTAACTTCTGTAACAGATTGGGTATTAATTATGTATACTAACTTAGATTACTATATTATATTGTAAGCGCTGGTCACACTTCTGATCTCTCGAGAGAGGATGAGTTCTCTCGAGAGAGTAAGAAGCTGAACAAAAACGGGGGTTGAAACATAGCGGCCTGCGAGCAGCGGGTTAGTTGAACTAAGGTTGTCGCTCTCTCACTTCGACATTGAATAAGATTGATTTGAATCGTAGAATAGCAAGATGGGCCCTTGAGCTTCAAGAATTTGATTATGTTCTGAAACATAGCAAATGCAACACGTAGATTCACTTAGTTGGTGCAACAACATAACGGTCTTAGAAGCGAACACATTTGAAACTAATTAAACAATTTGCCAGTCAAAAGATGTTAAGGTCGAAAGAATTAGAAAAATTTTAGAAAAGAGTGAGCATAAATGGTTTGAAATTAGGAATGGAGTAATATATAGAAAGAGTAATAATAACAGACTTTTATTTTATGTGCCGAATCGAATGGACGAACATGTGCTTTACAAGAATCATGATGGATTAGGTCACATTGGAAGGGACAAAATGTTAGACGCTATTAGCAAAAGTACTGGTTTCCGAACATGACGGAGAAAGTGTCCGAACATATTTAAAATTGTTTGAAATGTATAGCTTATTCCTTGAAAGTGGGCAAAGGAGATGGATACTTGCATAGTAACCCTAAAGGTAATAATAAAATCATTTACATAGATCTTTATGGGGCTGTGGACAACAGTAGATCAAAGAAACATACGAGTACATATATAAGCTGTTGAAGATGCATAATTAAAATTTGTTAGGCTGTATACGACCAAAATGACGAATTCTAAGGAAGCAGTCAATGCATTAGCTGATTATTTTCGAGAGTACAGTAGACCCAAATGTGTGATTTTAGATCGTGGAAGTTGCTTTACGTCAGCAGAATTTAAAAAATGTATGGAGGAAAACAGTATTAAACACATCAAAATTGCGCAGGGGTCGCCTCAGGCAAATGGCCAAGTTGAGCGAATTAATAGAAATTTAGGTCCGATGATAGCAAAATTGAACGAACCGGAAAAGCGTTCACATTGGGATAGGATCATTGAAAAAGTAGAATATTATATGAATAACACAATTCATAGTAGCATAAAACAGAGATATAGTTAAATTTTATTTGGTATAACTCAAAGAGGACAAGTTTGTGATGAGTTAAAAGAAAAAAGATTTGAAGAGGACAGTAATAAAGAAAATGTTAGGAAAACATTAGAAGATATTAGGAAAGAAGCTGAAGAAATTACGATCGCAATTAACATATGAAGTCTACTATAATGCAAAAAGAAAAACCGCAACGCATCTTAGAGAAGGTGATTATGTTGTAGTTAAGAACTTTGATAGTACGGCAGGTGTAGCGAGAAAACTAAAGGCCCTTATTGCATTGAGAAAGTTCTGAAGAATGACAGATATTTCCTCAAAGACATCAAATGGTTTCCGTTATCTCGGAATCCATACAAAGGCGTGTGGAGTGCTAGTAATATTCGGCATTGGATAAAATAAAAAATAACCAACTATGATAAATTGTAAATATAATAGACTCTAAGAAAACCAATTGTATAAATCTTAAACTTCAATGTTTAAATTGTAAGACAATAATGTCAGAGATAGTGGGATATCTCAGGGTCAGGACGGCCGAGTTGTAAACGGCTGGGTATTAATTATGTATACTAACTTAGATTATTATATTATATTGTAACCGCTGGTCACACTTCTGATCTGGAAACTTAGCGGCCTGCGAGCAGCTAGTTAGTTCGTATTGAAAGTTGAAAGAGAACATAACAAAAAGAACTATATTATGTGGTTTAATAGAAATTATTTTTTTGTGATGAAAAATGAATGTTTCTATGTGCATTTTTGAAAATAGCTTCTGTTTTGAGGAGGGCATTAATTTATGCCACCTGTTTCTAAATATTTTGTAACATAAAATTGCACGGTGAAAAAGAAAAATCCGAGAGAGTTATTTTCAAAGGTTTATTTTAGCGGCGCTGAGACTGCGTTTCTATAGCGATAAAGAACGAATGTGTGGGGGCGAGCCGAGCGATCGTCGACTCGCGAGCGCTAATCTCGGCTTGTATTAAGATAAATGAGATAATTCAGCAGACAGTAATGCTGAACCAATTACAAACCATAATTCTGGTATTAGCTAGCTGACTGCTCCCGACATACTCCCCCCGTTGAAAGAGCTATACTTGCAAGCGAAATGGTCTCGAGGGGCAAGACAGCTAATTTCCTTGTTGGCCGCTTGCAAAATCCAGCGCAACTCGATCGACGCCGTCATCTCCGGAGACAGGGCTCTCCACCCTGCCGAGGCGCCACCGCAAGGGAGGTAAATTGTCATCCTTGATTAGGACCATACTGCCTGGCTGCACGTTGTGCTCGGGGGAGCGCCGTTTGCTCCGCTCCTAAAACGAGGAAACTAAGGATAAGCGCGTAGATGCTCCTACCTTTAGACTCCCTGAGACGATCCAGCCAAGTCTGGTTTTCTGCAGGCTGGGCAAGTGGTTTTCTAATCTAATTTGTCCAATGCAAAGCAACTCGAAGAGTAAACTTGCTCCAATAAGCATGTTAATGCGCTGACTTTTGTAGAAGTGAGGGTCGGCGAGCTCGAGATTTTATGGTATCTTCCATTCAGATGGGTTAAGGTCGAACTGTGGGTGATAATCTGTGATTGACTGGGTAACGGTAGCTACAAGGGACGCGCTGTACTTGGCATCAGCGGATTGTGCGAAAATGTTGACCGACTCATCTGATGCTAGCGAGGACTCGTTCATCCCTGATATAGAGCTTGTTGAGTGATGGATTTGGAGTTGCAGTTGATTTGCGTTACGAGAGGTGACGAAGTTGATTTAAGAGGCCGAGTCGAGTAAGGCCCGGCAAGGCACGAATTCGCCAGAGCGGTTTTTGACATAAACTATTGCAGTGACAAGCAACACGTAACCGGCATCATTTGGCGACGAAGCTACTGGTGGTATTATGGGCAAGGCTACAGAAACTAAAGATGAGGTAATCGGCGGCAGTTCAGGACCAGGCTGAGGAAGGGTTGCTATGGGATTCGATTGCATATGCAGAAGAGTATGATGCTTCTGGTGACAGTTTCTACAGCTGCCAGATTTGCATTGCCGTAAGCTGTGTCCATTCCGTAGGCAATTTATACAAAGGTGCAACCTTTTTGCTTCGTTGTAGCGCTGAGTTGGAGTCAATCCTAGAAGCTCTGGGCATTTCGTCAAATAATGGTCCCTTGACTCACATAGTACCCACGATGGCAATGTCGAAAACGTAGCAATAAGTGCGTTGCGATGACTTCTACTAGCTACATTTCCCACCTGTTCGCTAGGTGTATGGTCTACCATAGCGCATTCTAAATTCTCCAACATGCGTCACCGAAGATCTAAAAATGTGGAAAATTTGTCCCAATTCGGCAGCTCCTTTGCAGGCAGCCCTTCCTTACACCTCTCCTGGTTCCGATGGTCCAGCTTTGAAGAGATGAGATGGAACAAAACACCGTCAAGAATTTCCTGCGTAGTTGCCATAGTACTGAGGGCGCGCAAGTGTGAATTTGCCTTGTCACTCAATTGCCATAAACCACTTGCTGATCCCTTCTCCACACCTGGTAGCTTGAATAATGACGAATGTGAGCCTGGAAATGTAACAATTTATTATCAAAACGTAAAATCAATAGTTCTAAGGCCCTGTCAGGGATCGAATAGTGTCCAACTCTGCGCCATCCAAGCAGGAACGAAGATGCTGGAATTTTTCTACATTTGACAAGTCCTCGTTTGTTCCCACCACAGGGTTGAACATAGCGAAGAAGTCCGGCGAATCGATGAATAATCCTTCAAATCGCGGAAGAGGAAATTCCGGTAGTCTGGTAGGCCTAGAATTGCGCTACTGGAACTGATGCCATGCAATTCGGTTGAATTTGCCATAGACTTTCTTCTTTCAATGGTCAAATAGAGGTAAATTCTCCCTTTTGTGTCACAGTAGGCGGTGGAAATTCTAATGCGCGCGTCGGATTCCCTATCCGCGAGCTCTAGCCTTTCAAGGTGAAGTTGAGAGCAGTCGAAGTCGGAATTCATCCTCTCGACTAACTCTAACCGCACCTGCAATTCACTTTCATCAAACTTGGCCAACTGTTCATCACTCAAGAATGCACTTAATGCCGCAAGTTGACGCACCACGGAATTTGACTGTGCCCGATAAAAGTCTTCGTTATCTCGGGCACGTTGCACAAGTTCTGTTTTATTTGATTCCGACATTTCGGATTATTTTTGGAAAGGGTATACAACAGTCACTACGCAAACTTTCCGATGCACTTGACTAACGGCGAGAATAGAAGTAGCGGTTAGAACGGAACCGAAAAACGAAAAAACCTCCGCTTAGCAACCGAAATTATGTAACGCTCGGCGTTCTGTATAAGTCGCCGACTGCTGCTGACTGCAGCTTTGGTTTGCAGGTATAAGCGAATACAATCAATGCGAATTGAGTTTGTTGACCTTTACACAGAATTGTGTAAGAGGCGCTTGGAATTATTAAAACGATATTTAATAAATTCTTAACATTCACACGCGTTCACGATCACGTCAGGGTCACCAATGCTTTGAGGAGGGCATTAATTTCCACCTGTTTCTAAATATTTTGCAACTTAAAATTGCACGAAAAAATGCGGTGCCGTGAACGGTGAAAAAGAAAAAGCCGAGAGAGATATTTTCAAAGGTTTATTTTAGCAGCGCTGAGACTGCGTTTCTATAGCGATAAAGAACGAATGTGTGGGGGCGAGCCGAGCGATCGTCGACTCGCGAGCGCTAATCTCGGCTTGTATTAAGATAAATGAGATAATTCAACAGACAGTGATGCTGAACCAATTACAAACCATAATACTGGTATTAGCTAGCTGGCTGCTCCCGACAGCTTCTATAGTATGTTGGGGATAAGTTTGTTTTTGTATACAGTAAATATAAAGATGGGTATATGTATAAGTAGTATTTTTTTTATTGTATAGTAATTACTGGTGTTTGTATAGTATTATGTTGAGAATCTGCAAGACAGGCAATATACGTGTGTGTAAGTTCCTTATTTTTTGTGAAGATTCTAGCATGGAACAAAGTGGTTGGTCGGTTTGCTGGGCAACAAGAAGTTCTTTATATAAAAGATTTGGGCCAGCTTTTGGTGTCGCAATTGATATGGATGCAAGATAAAATTTTTATTGTACCATTTTGCTTGGGATATTTTTATTTGATAATTTATAATAATGCGCGATGCATTCTGTGCCAATCGGCAATGATGGTCACAATAAATATAGATTTTTGTGAAAAAAATTGTAGTGTTTGATTTTGATTAAATATTGATTAATTAATTAAAATAATAATTAATTAATTATTTATCAATATAAATAAATATATCCATAATAATGCGCGATGCCTTTTGTGCAAATCGGCAATGATGGTCACAATTGGTATAGATACATATATTTTTTCAATTTAGATATCCATATTTAATGCGCGATGCATTCTGTTCCAATCGGTGATGATGGTCACAGTTAATATAGATCTTTGTTAGGGTTTAGTTGGTAAACATGCACACACTTTTTTATTAGGCCTCACTAACTCGCTGACTTTGATTGTATTTTATTATTTTCACTTTTATTTTTTCGAGACAAGCGTTTCTCTATTCGTTTTCTTCTTTTTTATCCATTTCCACTTTGTCCCTTGGCTTACCCAATTATTACATAGCGAAATAGCGAAATAGCGTAGGTCAGCGTGGCCCAGTTGTTTACAATATTCAGGTTTGGCTGAGCCCACCGTTAGTGTGCCATTGGAGGGGGTTTGGATGGAGGTGAAGTCATCTGTAACTCACGCGATACAAAAAAACATTAAATTGCATGTGAAACTGGAAGACCCAAAACAAAAAAGAAACTGCTGATAAGCCCGTCCGCTCGTCCCTCCCCCATTTGAAGGCTGACCCTTTAACTAAGTCACGCTTGCGACTCATTGCGCCAGAGGAATTGCAACGTGAAGGCGGGGTACGCGTGGAGGTACGCAGCGATTGCTGCCTGAACTGTACCGAGGCCGTGCTGGCGGCTGGGGTAATGTTCAGGAACGCCTCCTCGCCGACCAGCAGCTGGTCGGCGATTTCCAAGACCAATGAGACCTTGACGTCCATGAGTTCCTGGTATTCCTGAGCCACCTCATGGCCGTGACGCTCGCGAATGTTATAGAGTTCGAATTCACGTACGCGACAATTGAGAGCTGCATGCAGATTGTCAATATGAACACGTGTCCAGCGCAACTCTTCTACTTGTACATGCAACAGCGTCTTGCAGACGACGGAATTTATCCTCGTATAGCGACTCGATAATTCGCTTCTGCTCAGTTCATCAGTTCATCAATCTGGCAATGGCCAGATTGAATTTGCTCAGCTCATTCAAACGCGACTCGTACGTGCGGTTATTACCCTCAGCAGTGCGGCAGTCCTTGGTTTTATTGTCCAGACGGTTCTTCCGCTACTCGTTCTCCTCCCACAGACGCTTGCTACCGATCTCGCCACGGACACTATCCGTGGCCATATCTTCCAGAAGGCGACGCGTCTCCATTAGCTAGGCCTCGCACGTGTTCCAATAGTCTCGCGGGTGACCGAGACCTTGTGGCCTGCACCTCGATGCTGAGGCGTGAATTCTCTGTCTCCAAGTTACGCTTACGGTCAATATAGGTGGCCAGACGATCGGTCAGGTTCTGCAGCTCAACCTCCTTAGCCACGCGAGAGTGCCTGGTGGAGCTCAGGGGGCAGGAGACCGCTGGTGAAGCGGCCAGACTGGGGTGCACCCATCTCCAGAATCTACCCATTCAAAGCGCGTATTCTGCACAAGAGACAGACAGTCTCCTAGTTGGATTTACCCAACTGATAGCAGATCAAAAAAACAGGCTGGCTCCAGTCAGCAAATCCACACGCTGCGCTCTGTGGAAGTTGGGATCTGCCAGATCCTCATCGGCAGGTACCTTTCAGTTGCAGACATCTATGTTTCGACCAGGTTGACGCTCTACGATCTGAGACGCCACAACTGCCTCAATGCATACCGAATACGTGGATAGGCGAGACTTCAGGCAAACATTAACAGATGCTCCATCCGTAGTGAATTCAGTGTCTCCAAGGCCAGTCACCGCTACAGAGCATAAAGCTTGGCTGGCCAGCCCTGATGTGATGAGGTAAACTTTTGAGCCAGAATCAAGTAGCGCTCGGAAGGGAAAGAAGTCTCCTGATCGGCCACTAACGAGAATGATAGCGGTTGGCAATATCACTGCTTCAGCGTGGCTATCCGGGTCACGAGCGCGTTAGCTGGTGCAGCCTAGGAGGTAGCAACGCCAGGATTGGCGATTGGATCTATTGGAAGGATCCACGCCGGAAGCTGTAGCAGTGCTGGGTAATTGCTGAAACGGATGTAACAGGGCATGATGCATGCGATTACTCGATGGGCAGCGGGAGGACGAGTGCCCAGACTTGAGGCAAACGAAGCACAGGGCAAGACGTCGGACTTCATCGTTTCATTCTTCAACTGGCAAGGCGAGGAACCTTGGGCAAAAAGGCACAGTATGTGCCAGGATACCGCAAAGAGTACACGAGCCGACGGAGCATTAAGGAGCATGCACGAACGATTGTTAATTAGCCAACGTCGGCTCAGTTGATCCGCTGGCGGATGCGAAGGCCATATCCACAGTCTCAAGGGTACGGCGCCTTTGTTCCAAAAACCGAGCCATAGATCCCCAATTTGGGAGGGAGTCGTCCCACTTCGCCCTTGTTACAGGGTCCAGTTTTTGAAAGATGATCTGGATGAGGAGGCATCCTTGAGTTTTTTCCGCCATCTCGGAACTCATGGGCCCGCAAATGACCATTGAATCGGTCGGATAACTCCCGAAGAGTTGCAACGTATCCCGGCTCACCTACCCTTAGCTGCAAGATCTCGTTAATGTGAGCCTGGAATATTAATTGTCGATTACTAAAACGGATCATGGGCAACATCATAGTTAGCTTCAGTAATCTGCAACGCTCTCACAGTCTCCAAGGCGTACTCCCGCAGACACGAAATGAGTCACCTGGGCTTCTCCATCTTGGTCAAGTGAGGATTGCTGTCAATCGTAATCTTAAACCGCGCGCAAAATGTTGGCATCGGCAATGAGGAGTGTATGCGTGTTTGGAGTGGGTCAAATACCAGCACCACTGGTACCATCCAATAGCGTAGAGTGAGCAGCAACTCTACTTGAGCGCTTGGCAACTTCCACTTCCATCTGGATGTCGACGTGCATGTCCGAGGCTAGCTGAGAGAATTTCCAATACAAATCACTCCCGTTTTCGCTATAATTTAGCTCCTTCAATTCCTCCTGAAGACGCTCCATTGACTCGAGGGTCATAACGGTTGAATCTTCGGTCCGCATCGCAGCCTTGTCACAAGTCACCTCTGCTCGTCATCCTCTCCCTGTTTGCAGCAGCAGATCCAGCGGCGTCATCTCCAGACTCCATTATGTAGTTAAAGTGCACGGTTATTACAACAAAAATAACAAGTTTTCGTGGCACTTTTAAACTAGTCACAATTATTAAAACGGTTCAGTTCAATTTCCAATTTCCGAATTTCAAATCAAAACCAAATAAACTCCGCAACAAAACCAAGCCGAATGCAAAAGCGCTTGCGCTACAAAATAACAGTAAAGCGCATGCGAAGAACTAAAATAAAATAGAAACTGCTGATAAACCCGCCTTTGGCAGCTTGGCCCAACAATATATATGTATATATATATATATGTATTTATATGTATAAGCATATAAATCTCTACATAACAAAATTATTTATATTTTAATTATATTTTTTGGCCTAGACGTGCACACAATTATACTTATATGTATTTTTTTTTTAAACAAATAAATAAATTTATTAAACGTCAAAAAGCCAACTTAATGGCTATAATACGTTGAGAACAAGAGTTTATTTTTTTTTACTGTTTTAGGACTCAAGAAAATTTTTGCATCCCCTTGTCCAGAGATCGGCTGTATACCTTCGCTTTAGTCGTCTTTTAATTCTTCCGTTACCCAACGAAGAAGCAAGGTTGTTAGTGTGAGCTGTGAGACGATCGTTGTACCGACTCGAGTGCCTCCCTAATAGAGGGAGTGTGCTTAAACAACCAGCTAAGCTTCCAAAACTTGGAACGACAAGTAGCTACTAATATGAGGCCCAAGTACTTCGGGATGGTATCGTCGTGAAGTTTAACCTCCGGAAGAGACCACCTGATAGTTCATTTGCCATATGAGTCCGGAAATTGCTGGGTGATTCTTGATGCTTCGATACGGCAAGCGCTCAGAAAGAAAAAGGTTCAAAAAGCATATGAGCGTCTTTTAATATGTGCATCCATCAATTGCAATGTCGACTCTGAGTTAAATTCGAAATGCTCCTGCTTCATAGACAAAATTTATTGAGAAAATGCCTCTGTTGTCGGATTAAGTTCTTGTATCAGATATGATCCTAAAACTATTATTTGTGTTCATGTAAATAGGAAGTTGTAATCCTTACTCAGTTGACAAAATTTTCGAATTAAATATAGTTGTAATTTTGAATTCAAAATAATGATTTTCGGCCAATTAAATTCAAAGCGTATGGGAACCTTGCAACTGTTTGTCGACAGCTGATTGTCTATTTTATCTGTCCATTTTGAGCAAGAAATTTTATTGGCCCGACTCTAGGCAAGCACCATGTTACAATTAAGTCGATCCCTGTTGAAATGGCGCCAAGGCAATAAAGTCGCAGTAGATCCACATGGACGCCGTTGGCTAAGGCGTTTAATGCGCGTCCGGGCAGAGGATAAATTTTACTCGCAACGATGTGATAAGAGCAGGGGTCCGTAAATCTAAATGAAACTGACTAGGTTTCCACGACCGTTTTCCTCACAAAAAGTCTTCCGTTTGTCAAAACTACAAAGTTTCGAGGGCTGCTTCTTACCGCGTGGCAATGTAAAGAGTTTATTTTAAAGGCCACATCGGACACAGTCGGCACAGCTACTCGAGTTCGAACGGATAGCGCATTCACAATGCAAGGCTTGCAGGCTGCATCAGCATTTGTGGCGTGGTAAAAAGCCTCAACACGAACCGTGCCCTTTATAGAGACCTAGCGCTTGTTTTCCTTTTGCACAAGAAGGAGCGGTTACGGATTGAGCGTCTCGATGTGTACATTCTTTAGCCATGTTGGAAGTTTATTAATGGATCAGTTCTACCCACTGCTTTGCGGCAAAGCCATGTCCCTAAAGACATTGGTAAAAAGTATTTCTATATGCTTGTTCCGCCAATACTTATGACAATTTCTTATATATCTTATTTTTCCGCAGAAAATGTTAATATACGTGAGAACGCATATAGATTTTATCTGCAGCCAACCGAGATCCAGGAGGAACTGCAGCGCAGCTCTGTTGCGTTGCCGCCATGAGCTGGCCCGCAGTTGTGGTTTTTACTTTCCAGGCAATCTACACTGTCGCTCGTCACTTTCAGACTCACCAACCAATTTTCGAGGATATTCTTTCAAGTATTTTTTGTTGCCAGCGATATACACGCATTAGCACCAACACCAAGCGATCAATGCAGGGATGCTACTCTGGCCTTCTCTCAGTTAAAAGCCGTGCTTGGCAGCTTCGCTTCAGCCACTTTTTGGGATACGGAGCTGAGTATTACGTCTACATCGTTTTGGAGACAATCGCGTCCTTGTACTGTCAGAGGTAATTTATAGCAACGCCTTCAACCAAAACGCAGATTGAAAGTACCGGCCAGAAACTTTAGTGGCCTACTTTATAAAATGCGAAATGATGCCTAGCTTATTGACCGACACATTGATCTTGATAGTGACAATGACGAGAAAAAATCTAGAACCAGATAATCAGTTGTCTTAATCTTCTCAGATATTTTAAATTGTATAAAATATTGTGATATGGATTGAAAGGTGCGATTGGTGCTCTGTATATATATATATATATATATATAAATCGCTACACAATGAAATTATTTTTATTTGAATTTTATTTTTAGACTTAAACGTGCATAAAATTATTTATAAGTTATTATAATCTAAAATTTCTAAACACATTTTAATTATCGTTTTGGTTGAAATTAAACGCTCAGAAAGAAGAAAGGTTTAAAAAGGCATCCATCAAGTGTAACCTCGATTCTGAGAAAAATTAGAAATGCTCCTGCTTCATAGACATTATTTATTGAAAAATGCCTCTGTCGTCGGTTTGGGATGTTGTAGCAGATTCGATCCTAAAACTATTATTTGTGCTCATCATAAATTTAACATTAAATATATTTGTAATTTTGAATAAAAACTAATGATTTCCCGCCATTTCAATTCAAAGCGTATGGCAACCTAGCAACTGTTTGTCGACAGCTGATTACATATTTAATCAGTCCATTATGAGCAAGAAATTTGAGTGGTCCGATCTAGACAAGCACCATGTTACAATCAAGTCGAACCTTGTTGAAATGACGAATACAGACGGATAAATTTTACTTGTAACAATGTGGTAAGAGACACAGTCCGTAAATTTTAGGACAAGTGGATAGGTTTTCACGTTTAGGTATCCTTCTTATTGCGTGACAATGTAGAGAGATTATCTCAAAGGACATATAGGACACAGTCGGCAGGTGGCACAGCTGATCGAATTCGTACGGATAGCGTATTCGTAAAGCAAGGTTTGCAGTCTCTAGGCTTGCATCAGCATTTGTGGCGTGGTAGAAAGCCTCAGCACGAACTATACCATTTATTGAAACCTAAGCGAAGTTGTGGAAAATACGGACAAGCTAACAACCAGCAATATGG